TGCACTTTATTACAATTTTCTCTACATTTGACTTGCAGTATTTGCACTTTTTAGTTTCCGCATCTAAAGACTCACCATCACTCGGCGCCATCTTAGAAACTCCCCATTGGCAATGTTGCCAATGAACTTACTTCATCCCTAAAATCGAGTGTCGATCCGATTGGATATGTTGAAAGTTTGCGAGTCAATGAATCTTTTACATTTTCACCTACAGATGTTCAAGAAATAAAATCTACTTTTAAATCTTTGAAAAACCAAACCGCAGCAGGATCAGATGGCATTTCAATAAAGATTTTAAAAGAACTTCCTAATCAGGCCTTACATGTTCTAGCATCTGCAATTAACATCTCCTTCACTTCTGGCTCCTTCCCAACCAGTCTAAAACAGGCATTGGTAGTCCCAATCCACAAGAACGGTGATACCAAAGATCCGTCAATATCTTTGCTCTCTACCATATCAAAGGTGATTGAAAAGCTCGTAAAAAAGCGTATAATGGACTTCTTATCTGAGCATAACATATTAAATCCCGCTCAATTTGGCTTCCTACCAAGGAAAGGCACCCATGATGGTATGTTTCATGTCATGGAAAAACTCTTTAGACATTTCAACGATGGCTTTGCCACCGCAGGAGCGTTCTGTGACTTCTCCAAGGCTTTCGACTGTGTGAGTCACGGGACGCTGCTCAGAAAGATGGAGGTCAATGGGTTCCGTGGAGAAGCTTTGGAATGGTTTAGATCATATTTGTCTGGTCGAAGCCAGCGTGTCACGGCAAACGGTGAATTCTCCTCTGAGCAGCAGATCAGCTATGGAGTCCCGCAAGGATCAGTCCTAGGACCAATCCTTTTTCTCATTTATATAAATGACTTACTACATCTGGAAATCTCGGGGGTGTTTGCGGACGATGCAACGATTGTGTGGCATCGGAGGACGACTGCGGAGCTGGTCCCAATCATCTCAAGGGACATCAGTGCTATTAAGGCATGGTGCGATGCAAATGGGCTTCTGCTCAACTTCACCAAAACCCAAGTAATTGGTTTTCGATGTAATATCGACCACATTGATTGTGAGCAGTTTACAGTTAAATCTTCGCAAAGCACCAAGTTTCTCGGCCTTCAGTTAGATGCCGATCTCAATTTTCGATCTCATATTATAGCACTTAATAAGAAGCTCGTGTCAGGCTGTTTCTGCGTTAGAATTGTTGCTGGAAACCTTAACATCCCGATTGCCAAATCCGTTTACTATGCAGTTGTCCACTCTCATCTTTCTTACGGTTTACCTTTTTGAGGCTGTTTCTTCCGGTACCTCTTCAGAATTCAAAAACGTGCAGTTCGATTTATTGCTGGTGCATCGCCGCGAGACCACTGTAAACCTTTATTTGTTTCTTACAATATTTTAACTCTTCTGTCTCTCTTTGTCCTGGAATCGGTCACTCTTGTTCACAAACACAAATCTCTTTTCCCTGCACATCAGAGCTCTCATAGCACACGTCAAAGACATGCTATACCACTTCCAATTCCACATTCTACGCTTGTTTAGAGATGTAAGTTTTCATGAAATTTTCAAATTTGAAACTTTTCGTGAAACTTTTCATGAAAAGTTGAAACTTTTCAATTTTTTTTTGAAAAGTTAAGTACAGGAAGAATAGGGCCTCTAAAATTATTTTTTCGAAATGATAGGTATTCAATAAATTGAATTGATGAATAATATAGTTTTTATCAATTATTCCTTTCCATTAAATCACAATATTGCGGTTGGGGATTGAGGAAATAAAAAAAATTGCGTAATAGTGAAAAAATCTGTTTTTCTATGACCATCAAAAAATAAGCAACTTTTGTCATATTTTACCTTAGCCGAAACCGTCATTTTTGTCACTAGTGATGAAATATCCCATAGCGTTAACTTTCCTCACTAGTGACGCAAGTGAATAATTAAAATTTTACATGTTAAATAAATTTTTTCAAATCCAATTATATTTCAATTCTGTGGAGCACAATGAAAAAACATAGTTCCTAACAAAATTATGTACATTTTTGTGATATATGTGCATAACGTCTCTAAATAGTCGTGTATGCGCTAGCTCACTATTAGTGTATGGTTAGATAGATTAACATTTAACAATGGGTTTTTTGTGACTAGAGTAGCATTCCTTTGGGTACGGAGAATTAAATATTTTCAGTAATAAATAGACCATCACTCAAATGACTGTGTTTCATTTATAGTATATTACTATTTTGCTTTATATAATGTAATAAAAGCAAAATATAAGTATAAAATTAATTAAAAACGAGCACTTTTCATAGATGGCGCCAGCTATCAAACCAAGTTTGTAAAAAAAACATAAGTTTAACAGCAAAAATCAAAACATGGTCTTAGAAAAAGTATAGCGTTTTACTTGTCAAAAATCATTTTTTGCAACTTGAAAACAACTGTCTTCTCGTTGCAAAAAATGCTGTTTTCGTCACTCGTTAATTATTTTTTTGTCCACGACCATGACATGCGTTTTCGCTTTAACAAACCTGGGACAAAGTCACAATGCATGATTCATGATCTTTAAGTTCACGAAATTTTGAAAAGTTTTGAACTGTCTTGAAACTTTTCAATGAAATGAAATTTTATTGAAACTTTTCAGGTGAAACTTTTCACACTCACATCTTTACGCTTGTTAAAAACTCTATTATTTATACTGCCATAAAATTATATAATCACCTTCCTACAGCTATTATGAATATTCCCGATGTAGCCAAATTACGTAAAGAACTCAAAAACATCTTTGCAAAGAAAGCCTTCTATTCCGTGGACTTTTCATTTTGAATTTTCATGATATGTTTTGCTTTTATTTTTGGGAATTTCATTTAATTTTATATGCTACTTTAAACTATTAAATTGTCTTTCTTAAACCAATCCCTTGATCAAGGATGGTCCTATTGCTTCAGTTACAAAGCCAAACTCAATCGGTAACCATTCTATGTTGCCTAGATTACCAGGTTTCTTTTCTTTTGTTACTATTAAATGTGTTTTTTTCACATAGGTATTTTTTAATGTTTTGCTTTTATTTTATCTAATTGTTTTTATCTTTAAAATTTTAAACCTTATGACCAATGTGATATTAGATATAGATTTGTGACTATGAAATTTGACTGCTAACAATTTTTATAATTAATGTATTAGGTATCTGTATTTCTGATTTGTTAAGTAAGTACCTTCATTCATGTTTTTCTAATTTAATTTAAGCTAGTTGTATTTTTTAGATAACGTAGGATTTTTTGGATTGAATGTTGTATGTTGGACTGATGTGTGTGTGTTTTATATTTTTTTTATATTTAATCTTTATATTTGATTTTTGTGTCCACTTAATGGATTTTTTTATTGCGATGTATTTAAGACTTAGCTTTGTCAATAAGGATCAATGTAATCTTTGACAATAAAGCATGTTTACTACTACTACTACTAAAACCTAAAGATGAGAATGTAACATCGGTTCTGCGATCAAATTAACAGTTCAGGTTCTACAGCCTGTCAGAGTTGCAAAAGATACAAAAAATAGGTTCAGAATTTAACGTAGAATTTGAAAAATATCAACCCTGTATATTTTATGGATTTTATTCCAACCTTTACGTGCTCACTGTATATACAGGTATCAGATTTTATTGGCAACGCATCATCCTTGGAAATTTGGCAGGTTGACCCTAATAATGACATTTGATGACAAAATATTTTTTAAATTTCAGGGTTATGAAATAGAAAGCCAAGTTGCCAGAATGTGTAAAATATCTGAGTAGATTCAATTCCAAAATATTTTTCCATATTTATAAAAATGGGTACCTATATTATTTAATTTATTTGAAATAAAATATATGCAACGTAGCCATAACAGTAGGCTCAACGGCATAAAGAAGTAACATTTTTTTTCGGGTTTGGTCCAACAAAAATATTGGTTGTTGGTTTTAAGAAATGGCTTTACATTTTACATCTACATTCAAACTGTACCTAGGCCAAATATATCCGATAGTTGGGCTTCAATTATTATTCCGTGACACTTACGAAATTATTATATGTAAAATACTCTTGAAACTGCCAGACATTTGACATATAATGTCAACCCTCGGGTCAACCTGCCAAATTTCCAAGGATGAGGGGATGCCAATAAATACTGAAAGGCAGATAGTTTCTGTTTGAACCAGTTTTTGAATAATATGCCTAAGTTCATAATTCTCTCCATAATTCTATTAAGTAGGTTATGGCATGAATATCTGGATCTATATGGTTTGTAACCACACCTCCACAGGTAGATAGAATTGAGAGTAGAATTCAAAAAATGTTACCTGACATCAAAACTTGTGTGAGCCCAACTTGATCTTCGACCTTGTCATTCTAACCTTCAAATCACAAACCAGTGAGAGTTACAGCAAATTTCATTGGTTGAAAATAGTCGGGAAACTGGTTGTTGGTGATTATTTGCACCCATTAAAAACGCTCTGACCGATTTGTGATTTCTGTTGAAACAGACCTATTTCTATTGTTTGTAATCATGTTCATAAACACTCTTGTAATGTAAATCTATTTTTTTTATTCAAATAAGCCTTATTCTCGGCATTATTATCCAAAAAACAAAAATAGTGTCATTGACAAAGCATTCAAAGCAACACTAAAACTATAAAGTGAGTATGTACACAAAATTAAATTAGACATAAGACAATAGGCGTTTAAAATTTGTAAAACAATAAACAGAAAAAATTAATGAAAACAAAGAGTTAAAGTAACCATAGAGTTGTCATCACAAAAAGTCCCAGCTAATTAAACAATAACAATAAAATATTACACATTACAAAATATCACTAAAAAACTTGCCTACCATATAATAAGCCTTACCAACTAATATCCTATGGACCTTATTCAGTGTTGGAGAAACCGTAACCTCATTGGGAAATGATTGTATATTTTTATACTCTTGTATATTAATATTACAGACTTTTTAGTTAACTATTATACTTTCTTTTTAGGTAGCTTTGTTTGGATTCAACTTACCAGTTATAAAGGCATGTATCATCTACTATGTAGCTATGTACAGACGCCCAATGATAACTACATCCACAAAGAACAAGGGAACAATGTCAAGAACTGTTTTTGGTAGAGTTGAAATTTGGAAACACAGTAAATGGAGAAGTACTGATAAACCAAGATAATATTAGCTGAGGTTTCCCATATTGAAGTCTGCAAAAGGCTATACATTCCATTATTGAATGTGCCATAATTATACGCCATATATTCTGTATTTAAATTTTGCTAGAACGTTAAATATTAAAGTAGAAAACCTCTAATAAGTATGACTGATGATGACCGGCCACTACTTGGGACGTCTTCTGTGCTACATTCCCTCTCTTTACGACAAAAAGTTAAAAGGGGATTAAGGAGAAGTTCAAGATGCATTTTTGGACCACTTATACTCAGGAGATGTGTGGTTTTGGTAGTGATTTTTAGCATAGTTTTAATTATCATTTATTCAAGACAAACTCGAACACCATACCTAGTCAAGTAAGTACCTACCTACAAAATGCCAATAATTTGTCCTCACTACTCCTCACATACCTTTGATCTAAAGTGCTATTTTAGTCTGGAAGTATAAATAAATGGAATAATTGTAGACCTAATTAGAATTTAGTTAGCGCCGAGGTTAGCGCATTTCTGGTTATATTCGAAGGTGGAACTAGAGTAGTATAGTTCGTACCTACCTACTCTTATGATTTTATTAGTTCAAAAAAATAAGTTATTATTCAAGTGATAACCACCACTGACCTAATAACCCACGCAATCCAATAACCGAGCCATCAGAGCATGTCGTTTTCTGAGCCAGATGTATCTCCATATTTATTTCTTTCTGATTTATTCAAAATTGAATAAAAAGTAATTTCAGTTTTAGCTAGAAATTTTCACCTAGGCATTAACAAATTTTTTTTCCACTTCAGGCTCAAAAATGTGATTTTGGTTCCTGTTTTCAAGGACTTCACATCTCTGAGAGATTAAGTTTTCTTTCAAACCCTAGGGAAAATTTGATGTGAGATCTAGAATTTCAAATTATTCTTCTCTGTCAAGTTCTTTGTATTCTGTAATATTCCTCATGCAAAAAAAGTGCGTTACATATAGTCTAGGAGGCAGTGACGATTTTCGGTACTTATTTTCCCAGTCGGACAACTTGGATAGAGTTGTCGGGTAAGTAATTCTAAGGAAAATACATATATTTTAAGGGGGGGTTTCCGATGGGTTGAGGCGCAAAATGCAATAAAGCTTACGAATGCACGGCCTTTTTTTTTCTCAGTGATAAAAATAGGTCTACTAATGAGAAGTATACTGAAGTTACATAAAAAAAATTTCCGGCTAATCTGTGAGTATGAATAATATGTCTGGCAAGTGAAAAATTGAAGACCCGAAAATTTTCAGCCAGACTCACTTTCACTATCTGAGATAAGCCAAATTATTATTTTCATATACTTTATGTTCCATTTAAGTAAATTTGAAATAATTATGTCTGAGAAAATAAGTGTAGTTGTATTTTTCATTGATCTTGTGAACCCATCCGAAAATTTTAGCCAGACTCAAAAATTCTTGCTTTGTATCACCAGGAGAACAAACTATTTCATAGATACCAACTGGGGAAATAAGTGCTAAAAAATTTCACTGCCTCCTGGACTAATACAATGTGATTCAAATCCCTAGAAACGATAATTCACAAAATTCATGACATTCAACAAAAAATTAATGCTCATATAGAAAACATAAATAAAAATTCCACAAAACTACAAACTTGAAGCAAAGCAAAACACATAAGGAGAACCCATTATAACTACATAATTATTTTATTTCAGATATTACCTTATTTGTTCCATAGGAATTATCAACAAAGTACTTTTATAAAATACCCTCGAACACTGAAAATCTTTTCTAAAACTTGATCCCCATATGATGAAGGTTTAAAAAAACCCAAGGTTGTTTCAAAATTTGATCGAAATAAAACTGTTAGTCTATTTATTAGCTCCCAAAATGGCCAAAACAAAGTCTAATATAAGGTTAAAAAATGAATTAGATATACTTATTTCAAATACATGCAATAACCAAAACATTTTTCAGATTCATTAAAACTAACAGTCGTCCAGAACCAAATATAAGATGTGGTGTCATAAATGGACCAAGAATTTTGCAAAATCATGACCACAAAACTGATGCTCGACTGAAGAGTTATCCCAAAGTACTTGTATTTGTGGAGACAATATTTTCCAAGCTAGGAAAGGATATTGCCGAATTACTTGTCCATTCTAGAATTAAGTAAGTACCTATAATAATTATTCTATGACCTGTTGGATTTACTAGGCAATCTAAGAATTCAACAACCAAATCCGGAATGCCTATCATTTTTATTTATTTATTTATTTATTTACGTATAAGAAAAATACATTTGAAGTTGAACAGAGTTTAAAACTAAAAAAATCTAACCTAAAACAATTCTCCTGGCCTTCGTCTTAAATTTATCCAGAGATAAACCAAAGAACTCAAGGCCCTCACAGAACTTATTTACATTGGCAGATATTCTATTCACAGGACTGAATAGTAAGTACCAGGTTCGACAGTAAGGAATGTGCAGTAAAGATTTACTTCGTGTCTGATAACTTTGAATGTGTAGATTAAAACATTCAAGACATTCATGGCTTTTTATGTAGTAGTTAAGGATTTTAAATGCAAAACAGACATCAAAATATTCCCTTCTGCGAACAAGAGTAGATAAGTCTAAATAAGTCATAGTCAGCTCATCACTGAGAATCACACCACTCAAAGAAAGTTTGTATCTTGCAAACTTGATAAATTTGTGTTGAACACTCTCAAGCCTATTGATGTGGATCTGATAGTAAGGTGACCAAACTATGCATGAAACTTCAAGAACGGACCTGACCAGTGATGTGTAAAGAATTTTGATAGGGCGTATACTTGTAAAGTCCCTTGTAGCTCTCTTAATAAAACCCAACATTTTATTAGCCCTGCCAATTACCACTTCAAAATGCTCAGGGAACATTAGCCTAGTATCTAGATAGACACCAAGATCTTTAATGATAGAAACTTCAGACAAGCGAACATTGTTTAAGTAATACTGCAAGGGAACACTATGGGTGCGTCTACTGAATCTTATACAACAGCACTTATCAATGTTGAGGGACATGTAATTAAGCTGACACCAATCGTGAACGATGTTAGGATCATTTTGCAAAATAAGTATGTCTTGAGCTGATGTCACCTGACGATACAACTTCAAGTCATCAGCAAAAAGTAAAAAATCTGAGGATCGTTGCTCTGATCCTAAATCGTTGATAAACAAGCTGAATAGAAGGGGGCCCAAGTGAGAACCTTGGGGTACCCCAGAGGATGCATCGAAAAGAGAAGAAAGATAGCCATCGATCTTGACTTGTTGCATTCTGTTAGTAAGATATGATTTCATCCATGAAAGTAAATGTCCAGAAACGCCGAAACTTGAAAGCTTTGAAAGAAGGATGTTGTGATTTACCTTATCAAACGCTTTACTGAAGTCAGTATATATTGCATGAGTTTCTGCATTATTAGCAAATGAAGAATTTATAAATGTTGTAGAGAGAAACAGGCTCGTCTCAACGGATCTACCGGCTGTAAAACCGTGCTGTTGACTGATCACAATCTGATGAAATATTTTTTAGAGAATTTCTTCCACGCACTGCTCAAATAATTTTGGAATCGCAGACAGAATGCTGATGGGTCTGTAATTTGTTACATCATTTTTGCTGCCTGACTTGTAAATAGGACAAACGTAGGAGAGCTTCCACATTTCTGGAAAAATTCCAGAAGATAATGATTTGTTGAAAATATTAAATAGAGGAAGATACAAAGTGTTAGAACAAGATTTTAGTACTCTGTTGGGAATACCATCAGGTCCTGCAGACTTGTTGATGTCCAATTGCGTTAAAGCCCTCTCAATATCGGTTGGATCTATGACAATGCTTGAAACATTTTCAAATCGATCAGCAAAGGTTCCAGCGTCGAAATTTCTCTGAGGGTTATAAACGGAGGAGAAATAGACAGCAAAAAGATTAGCTATGTCATTACCGTTGGACGCCTTTTCTGAGGCAAGAAACATTTCGTTAGGAATAGTACCCTGATTAGTTTGGGAGGGAATAAAGTTCCAAAAAATTTTCATATTGGTGCCTATGGCTCTTTCAGTATCACTTATGTATAATTTGTAGCACTCTTTGGTGAGGTTTTTACAATCTCTCCAAAGTGTACTAAATGCAAAGTAATCCAAACCAGTATTCGACCGCTTGAATCGTTTGTGAGCAATTTTCTTTTGAAAAATCAGATTTTTCAATTCGTTAGAGAACCAGATAGGAAACTTGTCGCTGTAAGAATGTGCCTTTATGGGAACAAACATATTAAAGCAGTCGAACAGTACCGAGTAAAAGCTCTTAACAGTTTCGTTTAGATCCTCCATCATAATGGATCGCCAATCAAAGGAAAGAAAATATTCATTAACTAAATCAAAATTGGCATTTTTAAAGTCATAAGAAAAATAATTAAGAGGCTTCATTTTATTTGTATGAGTATTATAGAATTTGCTTTCATAACTTAATAATCTAATAATTGCTTAGTAAAAAACACGAAAAGGCAATAACAATATCACATCAGTGGACAAAACACACGAACTATCCTACAATTTGAAAAAATTATACAAAAGAAAACAATACATTGCACCCGTTTATATGTTTCATATGTACCGTTTTATTTTTAGGTACAAAGTAGAAGTTACAGGAAAGAGTTTACCAGTTTTAACCAATTTAGATAAAGGTCGATATGGAGTTATCGTTTTCGAAAACTATAATAAATATTTGCAAATGGATAATTGGAATAGAGAACTACTTGACAAATATTGCAGAGAATATTCAGTTGGTATAATAGGTATGTAAAATTTCTATTACTATGTTCAAATGTGTGACGACACTGTGTCTTTTTGTTACCTATTCAAATATTTTTGCGAGGTAGGTATTTCACAAACTCAACAAGATTACTAGATGAAATTGTTAATTTTTCAAACCTGATCAGGCTCAAAATTTGAGAAATTATTAAAAAATAATAATCTTTTTATGTAAATTTTCGGGGATAATACCACGGGAGCTTCAAAATTACCGATAATTTTTAACGATTGCGTGTTTTCTATAATTTGCAGAGAAATCACGCATGAGTGAAAAATTATCTGGTTCATTTTAAAGCTCAAATGGTATTTAGAGGATTATTTCACGTATGAGAATGCAAAAAATATGGAAACAAATATGTATTAAACGATTTGAACATTTTAACAATCAATACAAATAAATGGTTGCTATCAGGAACCGTTTGTTTGTATCAAAAATTAGCATGACAACCATGTATACAATAACATGGGAGAATTATCGAATGTAATACCACAAGAGGATTCAGGATTACCGGATAATACTTTTACCTGTCACGAAACGCGTTACGCAGCAACACCACGACACGGAAGGAGGAGTGGTGTTGCTGGTAACGCGTTGAGTGTCAGGTAAAGGTAAAAGTATTAGGTAATCCTGAAACATTGAGTGGTATTCAGAAGGTTATACAACGAACTAAACTTTAATACTTTAAAATTAAAAAAAAAAATGTCTATAATAGAATTTGCTATAAATGCCACCAAGCACAATAATCCCAACAGGCTTATCACTTGTTAAGCCTCTCGTGTCATATGGGAATAATGTACAGTGAGTTGTATAATCGCTGTAATTCTCTCTAGTTAAACAAATGGAAAAGAGAATTTTCGCTGTAATTCTGAAAATCGTCACTTGTCTTATGGGATTTCTAACACATGAGTGGAATAATCTATATTATAACCAACCTGCTGGAATATTCTTAGACACTGCAAGTAATAAGACATCCCTGCTTTTTTGCATGTTTGTTTCTTTGGTATTTGTCTATTGCTACAAACATTGAAAAATGTAGCTTGTTGTGCCTTGCTCGCCAAGTTAACTTTCATCCACGCCTACCTAATTTGGGAAAATGTAAACTGTGTACCTACTGCTAATAATTTTGGAATGAAACCGCTTGCATTTTTTTGAGATTTTTCAAGCTATCATTTCAAATTAACTCTGAAGTGCTTCAATCGGGCAATCCAAAGTTACCATACATGTGAAAATTCAATAAATTGTATGGATCGGACCTCCACAGCCAATATAGAACTACTTTATTACAATACACACATTTTGTTTAAAACATATGTGCATTTTACACATGAATTTTCTGGAGTTGTTGCACAGTTTTTGACCAATCGGATATTTCCTTTGTAGGTTTTATTCCACCAGAAGAAGAAACATATGTAGGATCCCAACTGAAAGGCTTTCCCTTATTTATCCACACCAACCTTAAATTGAGAGATGCCGCTCTGAATGCTGCTTCTCAAATCCTGAGACTGACTAGAGCTGGAGAGACGGCGTGGGGCGAGTTACCGGGAAATGATTGGACTGTTTTCCAAGCAAATCACTCTACATATGAGCCATTAGAATGGGCGCATCGTAGTGATTTTTTCCAAATAAATGACAGTATGTATTTTTGCTTTGTGAATACTACAATTAAATAATTGATATTGATATAGTATAGTAGTATTTTCATCAGGGTTGCATTGATTTAAATCACCTGATTTAAATCAGTGAATAAAATCGCGATTTTAATCAAATTAATATTATATTTTAATCGCATGATTTAAATCGCGATTTTGTAATTTGGTGATTTATAAAAAATATCAGTAAACATTAAATCAAAATGCAACTAATTGAATTTATCTACGCTACTGAAAAATGGGATATTTTAAATTTATCTTCGCAACTGAAACTGACGTCACACCGCCGGACCTTCGGTGAGCAGCGAACATGTGGTAATCAGCTGTTAACAGCCAGTGGCATTCTTAGCACAGGCCGCACCATACCTTTATCTTTGTCTTTCTTTTGTCCCTAAAAGGGATGGAGATACACTCGTTTGCTGCACCAGTTTAATTATACGGAAATGCTATTTGATTTCATCAATGATTTGATCTTTCTGGGAATCCCTCTAATCTTCGTCTGTCGTTTTATCTATTTATTAATAAAAAGTGGACGTTTTTGGTGGGGTTTGATGGAAAGTAAATGACGCGCGTAAAAAAAAAAACTTTATTTTATGAGGGTTTGTACTTACGTCATAATTTGCCTTCTTTTTAAACAAATAATAAATGACCGAAATAAATTAATGACGTCGTGAACATTCGTACGTTAAACTAGCACCTTATCGATCTATGACAAACTAAACCCTTTTTTCGAAGTTATGACGTCATCGATGACGGACAAACCCTCATGCAAGGAACTATATGTTTATTTGAAATAACAGACATAAAAAAACTTATTTGTTTATTAAAGAAGGCAAATGATGACGTAAGTACAAACCCTCGGGAAACAAAGTATTTTTCACGTGCGTCATTTACTTTCCATCAAACCCCACCAAAAAAAAATAGTGCTATAGCACCCCTCAAATTTGGAGCCTAGTTGCGCCTATGATGTCAATGAATTTTGTGTTTAGGGTGTTGTTGTATGATAAATAAAATCTAAAATAGATCTAAATAAAGCGTTTTTTATTTAAATCGAAAAAATCTGATTTAAATCAAAAAAATCTGATTTAAATCAAAAAAATCTGATTTAAATCAAAAAAATCGGATTTTTTTGATTTATTGGAAAAAAATCCAAAAAATCTGCAACCCTGATTTTCATCGATAGAAATAGAATATTCCTGGCAATGTCGATACGTGATGAGAAATAAAATTGTGGGTTTGTCTCACATTTGGTCTGTTCGCACAGAAATCACAAACCAGCCAGAGTGAATTTCATTCGAGATTTCATTGGTTGAAACTAGTATTTTGATTCTTTCTGACTGTTTTCGACCAATGGAATTTGTTCTGACTGGTTTGTGATTTCTGTGCGAACAGACCTATTGATGCAGTACAAAACAGGAAATAGTGGCGAGTGTAATATTTTAATCATAAATACCTACATACCATTTTTCAACAACTTCTACAAACTTTTTGTTAGATAAAGGATCCTGACATTTTACGAATTTATAATAGGTATCCCTATCTTATCGATTTTTCAATTTAATTGATGGTAAATTTCAATAAAAATCTAAGTGAGAATATTTATTGATTGAATATTGTTTCAAAAATCAAAAATAGGTGATGAAGTTGAGTATTGCCAGTTGCTTATTCTCTGTTGCTCTAGTATGTGAAACGCCTTGGGAGTTCTTTTTTTTTATTATAATAATTATTCAACCATTCAATATGCTTAACAATTACATAGTATATTCAGTAGTATCTTCTATAGGTATAGTCTGTGATCAAAATTACTGGCAGTCATTCATATAATGCTGCACAAAAGAATGACTAGGCGGCAAATTAAATAATAGTATATTACAATCCGAGACGGGAAATGCTTCATTGCTGGTCGAGAGGTTATATAGTTTATCGAGATAAACTGAATCTCGTTTATTTTTTATTTATTATAATTTCTTGAAAAAAAAAAAAAAAATCGGGGCAACTAAATGAGGTCGGAAAATGAGGAGGGAAATTAGGACGGGAAATATTTCCCTGCTCCATTTTCCGTCCGTGGACGGGAAATGAGGACGGAAAAAATTTCCCGTCCTCATTTCCCGTCCTGGGACAGGTAATGGAGCAGGAAAATGGAAAGACAGAAATGTGACATTTTCAATTTTTTTGAGTCAGTTACAGGTCAGTTATGACAACATTTCATATATGGTTAAAAATAAAAGCTATTGATTAGGGTACCTAAAGTTTGTTTCGCCAGGGTTTGTACTTGCCACCAGCATTTGCCTTCCTTGTTTAACAAATAAAAATTGACTGAAACAAATCAATGACGTCAAAAAAGTTCGTCGGTTCTTAAACCAGAAGTCATTCATTTTAATTTGTCAAAAAAATTGAATGTCATATCAAAGTCTAAGTCATATGAATTAATCTAGGACAACCCTTTTTTTTCAAGTTTCAAGGTCAAGTATGAACCCTGGTGAAACGAACCTTACCTACTTATCAATTAAATATACATGCCACTGAAATCATTTTTCCTGTCGGGTCACCACCCGCGCCGCTCTATATGTGAGAAATGGGTCACAGCCATTGATTTTGATCACAAACTCTAGTTAATAATAATAGAAGCTGATAATAATTCACAAAATTCTGGCAAAGCAGCTACCCAATCCATTAGTGATTAGGGAAGGTTCAAAGATTGCGTCAACAGTGAATTATAGGTATTAGTAAACTCCGAACGAAATTCCGTCACTGTATTACTGATGGAGTCACTCTAACAAAAATGATAAAACCTATTTCTCAGAGTCAAAAATTGGTGAAACAATGGAAAACTCATGTGGTTATTTATTACTCTCTTCTTAAGATTAGACATGTCTTTTCGAATTTAATTACATTTGGTTTTATCAAACCTTATTTGGAAACAACTTTTTTTTAGGTGGTGTGAAAACTCCCCTACCCACTGTGATTCAGGATCATGGTCTATTTGATAATATTCAGAGAATCATTTTTGGGTCTGGTCTAAGATTTTGGTTGCACAGGCTGCTTTTCCTGGATAGCCTTAGCTATTTGAGTCATGGTCAACTAAGTTTATCGCTGGATCGATCAATTTTAGTAGACATCGATGACATTTTTGTAGGAGAAGTAGGAACCAGAATGAAATCTGAGGATGTAGAAGCTATAATAAGTACACAAGAAAGGTGAGTTTACTTACCTTATTACGTTCACGCTAATAGCAACTTTACTGCACTCTAAAATCATTAGGTATGACTCATTTTGATATTGACATCAACATTTTAACCGAATTTGTCTACTTTTTGTGTGAGGCCATTTCGTATATTATATACCTAATGTTCGTTCAAAAACCTTAAAGAAAAAACTACTTCGTACTCTATTTAAACGTCTGCAAAAAATTTAGAGTGAATTGCGAAGCGTATTACGCTTGTAATGTGTGTGTGTTTTTTTTTTTCGTAAAAATTAAATTATTGTTACAGACTGGCAGCTATGGTACCAGGTTTCAGATTCAACTTGGGATTTTCTGGCAAATACTATAATCACGGAAATAGCGAGGAGGATAAAGGCGATAACCTCATATTGCAAAGCGTCGATAAATTCATGTGGTTTTCACACATGTGGAATCATCAACAACCCCATCTATATGATAATTTGACTTTATTGATGGAGGACATGGTACTGAATAAAAATTTCGCAAAGCAATATGGTATGTTAATGCTGATAATAGATATTGCATTTTTAAGTCAATGGTGAATATTTAATTTCATGTTAATACAGCTGTGCTTCTGTTAATAACAATACGTCGAAATTAGATAATTTCAAACATTTAACATTTCGAATTCTTAAGAAGTATTGCAAAATTGTAAACTATATTACCAAGTTACGTTAATGATAACTGATGAATTGATATTGCTCTTGCTGCTCATACATTTTGGTGGCATATTGATCCGGACCATCCTGCGATGTGATGTCTCTTTCTCTGAAGTCCAAAGATTCTCTGTGCCTGAGCTGCATGCCTCCAAACAAGAATCACATAGCACATGTCACTAGAAAAAATGCAGTCCTTTAGACTGGCTGTGAGATACAAACTCATTATGCAGCATAAATAATTTGCTGTTGAGCATCCTGGCAATTGACTGAGTTGACTAAATATGTGCATCCAAAAGCAGCCCAGGATTAACTTGAACGGAGGTTTCTCCAGTTTCATTATGTCAGTCTGGTAATGAGAATAACATTCTGCTGTTTTTATTTGTGAATATCAGAATAATCCATAATCTAGCTGAAGGGACATAGACATTTCGAAAAATTTTGATATAACCAGACAATATGATGATATAACCTAATAGAAAAGTGTAAGAAAAAATACTTTAGAAATTTCAAACAAGCAAACTATGAAGTCATTAACCATGATCTCCAGTAACAAAATTGGCCTTCTCTCCTTAATTTAAATAATTTAAACACAAATGTCACCTTATTCTATGACACCTTAAATAAAATCATACAGAATCAAGTTCCGCTAAAACGCTTAAATAATAATTTTCCTGTTTATTTTTCTAAAAATACAATTAAATTGATACTTAAAAAAAATAAATTACACAAAAAATGGAAAACAAATAAAAATATGTATGACTACAATACTTTTAAATCACTTCGTTCTGAAACAAAAAGATCTATCAACAATGATTATGTATGTAGATAACATAGGAAATGAAATTATTATACCTAACAATAGTAAAAAGTTTGGGAACTTTGTGTCAAATAAGCGATCGAGTGGCGGAACACCTAAGGAAATGAAATTTGGGGACAAGGTGGCAGAGGACGGTGCTGGGGTCTGTAGGTTGTTTTCTGATTTCTTTCAGAGTGTATATGTTGTAAAGTCACCTATAAAGAAAATAACAAATAAAACACATTCTATACCTAAAAACCAATCGCTTTCGAAGATAATTTTAACTGAGACCGAGGTACAAAGAGCTCTGGAGGGTTTGGATGAAAAAAAGGGTGCAGGGCCCTGATGATATTCCAGCCATATTTGCAAAAAAATGCTCAGCTTCAGTCTGCCTGCCCTTGACACTACTGTTCAACCAGTCTCTTTCCTCTGAAGTTTTTCCAGATGTATGGAAAGTCTCCGCTTTTAAACCAATATACAAGAATGGTCAAAAGAATGGTGTCAAGAATTAAAGACCTATCAGTATATTATGTACCTTTTCGAAACTGAAAAACTGGTTTATCCATATATCTTTAACATTGTGATAGGTGATATTATGCCACAACAATATGGTTTTCTGCAAAAGAGGAGCCTAGAGTTAAATCTGATAGAATACTCACAATACATATATGAATCATTCCATACCTTTTGTCAAGTAGATGTAATTTATACTGATTTTAGCAAGGCATAAAATTTGCCATAACATTATGATTGACAGGCTGGCGGAGATGAGAATCTGTGGTGACCTCCTGAGATGGTTTCAATCATATTTTCTCAATTGATCTATGTTTGTTGCCCTGTTAGGGTTTTGTTCTGAAAGATTCACTCCATCCTCGGGGGTCCCTCTGGGTTCCCATCTTGGTCCTCTCCTGTTCGTGATCTACATCAATAACATAGAGTTATGCTTTAAATACTGTCTGTTTTTGTGCTATGCTGATGACCTAGAAATATTTGTTAGGATTACCTCTATTGCAGATTGTGAGACCCTTCAGACTAGTATAAATACCTTAATACAGTTTTGTGATGAAAATCAATTATTTTTAAACTTTGATAAATGCTCAATTCTGTCATTTTCACGAGGATCAACAACAATAAATTATGACTACAAATTAGGAAATACTTCTTTGAACAGGGTTTCTCACATCAAGGATCTGGGGGTCCTGTTTGATTCCAAAATGTCTTTCAATTTGCACATTGACAGATTGGTTAATGATTGTAATAGGATTCTTGGACTTATCAAAAGACAGTACTGATTTTCATAGTTATAAAACAATTTTAACTCTTTATTATTCTTATGTTGTTAGCAAACTACAATTTGCTTCTACTATATGGAGCCCCAGATACAAGAATGCCATCGATAGACTAGAAAAAATTCAAAATAAATTTTTACAATTTTATGTTTTAAAACTCATTTTTACATTGCAAATCATGACTACTCAATGGCTCGATCACATTATAAAATTCTTGAATTGGAGAAAAGACGAACCATGTCTGACATTTTAACAATATTTAAGATCGTCAATAATCTATTTAGCTCTCCAAGCATTCTTTTGAAAATTAAATTTAATTTACCTGTTCGAACACTTAGAAACCACAACTTGTTTTATATTCCATATTGTAGAACTAATTATTATCAAAACGCACCCCTAGTCAGAATGCTAAAGGCTTATCTTAATATACACTGTACTGATTGTGATTTAGACATATTATTTGCAACTAAGTTGTTAACATTAAAAAAAAAATCTTAAATTTAAATTTTTAGGATGAACTTTTATGTGATATTACTGTGATATGTGTGCCTTACTTAAAAAATTTGGATAATACCTACCTATCTCATTCTAAATTATTCGAATACTTACTTAGATATTACTCTTACAGAACTTAACATTAATTCCAATTCTCTACAAATAAAAAGATTTGGTTCGCAACAGAAACCAGAGTATCATATCCTGGTTGAAACGCTATTGCTGAAGCTAAATTTGATTACAGAATTTCTCTATCACATCAGGATTTTTAAATAAAAATTGAAGTATATTTTCTTTCTCCTAAGATTTTGTTTTGATTTTTTGGCAATCTACTCTCAAAAATGAAACAAAAGGAACTGTACTGTGTTTTACTTATTAGTCTGGGAAAATTGTCGATTTTCAAAAAAAAAATCCTACCCAAAAGAACTTCTCAGGGATGATAGGGGGAGGGTGGGTGATCATGAAACCGAAAATATCAAACATTCACCCCTCTGGCGTTTTGCGCTATAGGGGTCGAAAGTGCGCCATTGGCGATTACTTGGTACCTATTGATTTTACAAAAAAATGTTTCAAATAAAAGATGCAGTGCCGGCCCGAGGCTACTTTAAGTATGGAGCGAGATCTGACTTTGGCGCCCCTGGTTTAAATGTGATTCGCATACGCGAGTATGGATTTTGACCATTATCTAATTTAATAGGTTTGTTACCACTTGCCAGACTATACAGGGTTATTGTTTATAAATGTTCCCTCTATCTTTTTTTTTGACATTTTAGAAAGAGAGTTTAGGTTTTGTAGTTGAAACAATTTTTTTTTTTAAACTTACTTTCGCATATACCTAAAGGATGTTTCAGAAAAGCTGGTTGTGGTCCAATTTATTTTAAATGGAATACCCTGTATATAATTGAATATACGGATTCGACGTAAAATCACAGCATCACAGCATATTATACAAAAACAATCAGCTGGCTAACTCGAGCTCTATATCCTCAAATGGCGGCGTGCGCAGAAAAGATACGCGTCAAATGTTGTGCTTTTGCCGTAGCCGTGTTAGGCTGTATCCTCAAATGGCGGCGTGCGCAGAAGAGATGTGCCTGAGAGTTAGCCTGCTGTTTGCTTTTGTATATGCTGTGGTAAAATTCTGAGCAAATTTCCTGTGTTGCCAGAACGATTTCGGAACCACTCTGTATACGAATTTCGGTTTCTATGCAAACATTTTAGGTTTTGCGCAGAATCCTGACGATAATGGCTGTGTTTAACGGGACTTAGCGGGTGTTAGCCGATAAACGACTAGTTAGCGCAAAAGCGCCTGTCAGCTTACGTAGCTCATTTAAAAAGTGCTATTTTTAGTTAGCCGTTGTTAGTGCTAATATGAAATGTCATAAATGTCTAATCTATCCTTTGAATATAAAACTACAGGAAGGAGCATAACTTCGAATCTGCGCGACCAAAATATGTGGAGGTTGCATATGGCCGAATAGTATTTCCGGTTTGGAAGTGGCGTATATTTATTTGAATATGATTGTCAATATTATGACTCACTCTTTTCGCACTAATCCCAGTGCTTATTATCACTTAAAACTGCTAAAATCCATTAAACATCTACTTGAATGAGGACACAGCGAACCACCAAAACAAATGATGAGTCCATACTTGGAGGCTCAATATGGCCGTTTCCGTCCCTGCGTTGTCTATAGTGACAGATAGAAAAGGCTCTTTCCTGTAGTTTTATATTCAAAGAATCTATCCTAAACCCTAACCTAGCATTAGGTACCTACATATTTTTTCTTCTGGTTTTTGGTTGATGTTGGTGGGAGCTGCTTTATTTTCGAATTTTCGACATGAATATTCAAAATTATGGAAATACCGATGTCATTAAACATAAAATTCTTATTAGCGTTTTGTTAGGTTATGTTTAGAGTTTAGAGAAAATCTTGAAATATAAATAGGTCGTTCAACGGCTATAGTTAGCGCTTCCTGGCACTTTCAGCGCTAGCGGGTTCACGCTAAGTCTCGTTAAACACAGCCATTATTACGGTTTCCTGCCGGGTTGGAACAAAGAAAAGCTCTCTATTTATCTTACAAATTGAAAATTCAAAACATTTCTGTTCGTTAGTACAAAGTTCTCTTATTTACTAACATTTAGTTCACATTCTTTGCTGGAATCAATCAATAATCCAGTTTGGTAATATCACTTATGGCCATTCCCACCAACTATACCCACATAACAAGATTGCATCCTTAGAATGTACTGGGAATGTTCTTTTTTGAGGAGGAATGTGCATAGAATGTTCGCCAAAACCATTGCGAAAGTCCTGAGAATATTCTGAGAAAAGATTGTAGAAATACTGTTTGCAATTCCCGAGAACTTCCTGGAAAACCCATTAAGATATTCCTAGAATATACCTATGAGATTCTCAGTACATCCTGAAAAGAATATTCCTGTTTGATTCTAAAAATATTCTTGAAATGTATATTCTCACATTCAAAGAATGTTTCTATGACATTATAATTATGTTCTCAAAAGAATATTATACCAATATGCTTGAAATATTCTTAGAATATGTCTACATATTATTATATCATTCTCAATATGCATCCTAGACATAACATTCTTATTTGATTCTAAGAATATACTTGGAATGTTAATTCTCGCATCCAAATAATGCCCCTTTCAGTCCTTTTATATAAAAGGCAGTGAAAGAGTTGTTGGAAAACTTCTCTGGAAAACACAAGTGTTTAACCAAAGCTCCGGTTTCGAGCTTGTTATACTCTCGTCGCGGTAAGTACGCCAACTGAGAGAAACAGGTTCCAAGGTGATTCAAACGCTAGGCAAGATGTAGATCTTAAATAGCGCGTGGCTCCCTCTCTTGGAAGTCCTACAAAGCAATAGAAAAGGAATATACCTATAATATTTTTAGTAGGTTCTAGATAGAGCATTATTGTTTAATTGTTCAATTAAGATTTTTGAGTAGGTACCTACTTAAGATAATTAGGTGAACAATATGAAAATATTCTTATCATGGTTACCTACTACATAAACTTCTCAGCACAACATGATAGGTATATTCTTAATACTTGATAGAGATATTAGCCGAAAGAACATTTTTTAGGGTACATTATAATAATGTTCGTATGACAATATTCAAATAATGTTATATAAAGTAGGTTCTTAGCACAATCTTTCAGGTAGGTGCATAGGAGCAACATTCCTAGTACATAAATAGAACGTCCAAAAATGAATATTTCAATCGAAACAATCTTAGAATATTCATTAAACATTCCTTAAAGAACATTCCAAAAAGCACTTTGAGGAAATATTCTGAGAATATGAATGTTCTTTTACTGTTATGTGGAAGTTATTTTCGGGAAGGATAAGTATTCCCTAGACTGACAGTTTTCCATGAAGAAATGTCAGTTTAGGGAATACTTATCGTAATAGTACCCACCTCGGATAACTGACAACTGAAAACTCGGATAATCCGAATATATATGATGTATGTGTATTCTAGAAACTCGGTTAATACAGAGTATGGAGGTCAGTGGCGGCTCGTGCCTCTGAAAAGAGGTGAAGCAGACCGAGAAGCACCACAGACGTTTTTTTTTTTTTTTGGCGCATCCGCCATTTTATGAAAAGCTGAAATTCAAATTTAAAATAAAATAATCAAACGGGTATACCAAGTAATGTTACTCACCAGAATTGTTTTATTTCTTGAATACAAGGTCAATTCTTCTATTTTTCAAACTTGCAAACTTGTTAATAATATCATCATAGAACGGTTGCGTGTTCATTAACTCGTTCAAAAATTCCTTCTCGATCGAAATTCTTGCTAAATTTGTAAGTCTTTCTTCCGTCATTCTATTACGAAGATAAGTTTTCACTCTTTTCAAACAAGAAAAACTTCGTTCAACGGAAACGCTCGTCGATGGGATAGTTATACTATTAAACAAAATAGTTTATAGGCTTCTTTAAAAGTATCCCTGTGCTCAAATAACTCAGCCATAAACATCTGCTGTTCCATTCCTCTGTATTTTTCGTCACCAAAAATAAATTGTAATTCATTTTTTAATCTCTGGAGGTCAGTAAATATATTAGGGTAGCATTCTTTCAAATTATTCAATGCTTCTTTAGGAAAGTTTTCGAAATACATTGAAAATTTTGCAGTATCAATTAATGTCACGAATCGAATTTTCTCTAGGTCCTGAAAACGGGTGTCAATTTGTACTGAAATAGTGTCTAAGATTTCATAAAACAGAACTTTATACTTTTGAAATACTTGATCTTGGGTTAGTGTCACTCTTGTACGGCCGTCGCGTTGATCAGTTGGAACTGTTATTTTTAAAGAAGTTGCATCAAAAATACTTCTGAAAACATTATCATTTCTTTTACTGTTTAAAAGTCTTTGCGTAGTTTTAATTTGTGATATACAATAATTGATATCCAAGGACTTTTTTTGTAGCACATCAAAAAGAATATCTGTGAGAGCAAAAATTTCACCATTAATAGCCGCTAGAAGAGCAAACTCGAAGTTATTGAAAAGATTCAAAAAGCCCTGGCTCTGCCTAGTTGAAGTTTGATCCGAGGTGGGATCATTCAAAATCTCATTGAATACTTGTTTTAAAGAGTCCCATTCGTTATTTATAACACTTAAAATTTTAGAGTTGGATGTCCATCGAGTAGTAACAGCTGTGGGTATTCGTTTTTTAATTAGGGTATCAGCTATGTACGTTCGCTTTGCAGAGTGATGAAAAAATGTCGGCAAGCCGCTAACATTGGCGAAAAATATACGGCATTTTGAAATATCCTTACAACTTTGTTGAAGAACTAAATTCAAACGATGTGCCAAACAATGAACGAAAACCGCTTGTGGCGCTACTTGTTTGATTTTGGATTGAAGGCCATTTAATTGTCCCGACATCACACTAGCTCCATCAAAACATTGTCCTATAAGTTTGGTTTTGAAATCATATTTTTCGAGACAACCTATTACGACGTCGTATAATGAATCAGCAGTCCGGTTAGCACTAACATCGTAAAATCCCATGAACCGTTCCAACAACTTTCCTTCAGCGTTCACATATCTAAATATTATGCTGCATTGAGATTTCTGGACAATATCTGTAGTATCATCTACTTGGATAGAAAAGAAAGTGCATTCTTTTATTTCTTTTTCGACATATTCATCAATATACAGGGAAATACAGTCGATTAATTCATTCTGAATCGTCTTTGAATTTGCCGCAAACACGGAAGAAATTTTTTTATAGTGCTGTTGAATATCTACCGGACTTGTTAATACAAAAGCATCCAAGAGTTCTTTGAAGTTGCCTCGATTAATAGAAGACTCATCTTCGATATGACCCCGAAACGCCAATTCTTGCTTGCTCAAATATAGAGTAGTGCGAATAGGCAAGTGCATGAAACGCCTGTTCAATTGCACATTTTCATTGAATTGTTTTATATACAGCCTGGAGTTTTCCTGTAAAGCATCTTTTATTGTGTTTAAATTTTTTTTCAAATCTGTGAAACCTATGGCACAACGTATATGTTCTGATGAAGATTCGTGTTTATGAAGTCCCCGAGTTACATTACCTAAACTCGAAAAAAAAATAAGCAAATTTATCTTCAAAAATTCAAAACATCAGATTACCAAAGTCGTTAAATCCTTCCTTGTTCCAGACACCCGATTTTACACATATAATTAAACAAGGTAAACAAAAAAGTTTGTTCAAATAATAACTACCACACAACCACTTATATTCCGTGTACCATTCGATGCGAAATTTCCGCGTAAACGCTCTGTCTTTGGATTTCGAAATTTTGGTTATGTTTAGTACAGGCAAAGGTCTATTTGAACTTAAAAAATCCTTTTTATCTTCATTCGTCCACCGCGAAAATTGTTTTTCCAACAAAACACACACCGGATCATATTCTGGAAACATGACGAGACGAATCGGCAAATAATAAAAGAAAAATAACAAATTCAACTCTGTAAAATCAAAATTATAGGAACTAACGAACGCCAGGAGCAAAAAACTGCGAGACTGCAGCGAGACGCGCACAAAATCGCAGCCTCAAATAATAATATATTCAGCTAATCGGCGTCGGCGTACGAGCCGTTTCACGCCGTTTCCATGGCAACCGACGGGTGGTAGGAAGCGGTCCCGCCGATTCTTGAATTGCGCGTCAAGTGCCTTGGAAAAACGTAATCTGAATGCTCAGTGTTAATTTTTTCAAAGTTTAATTCTTTTTCACGGTTTGTGGCGTTCAGCGACTAGGACCAGGACCGAAATTAAAATTATTTAAAGAATTTGAATTTCAATATTTTATCTTATTGCAAAGTAGTTTGATCTATTTAAAAGTTATTAACTTATGTTAATTTAAGGTGAAGCGGCGCTTCACCTGCGTCATCCGGCGAGCCGCCACTGCGCATACCTCGGATAATCAGGATTTTTGGGTTTTTAGACTGGCTCGGTTAATACATAGCGCGGATAGTTGCGACTCGGATAATCGGGGTTCTACTGTATTAAACTTGAAGTAAAAATTTTCAGAAAAGCGACCTGACGGACTAAAGGTTGAAAACCACACGTTTTCATATCCAATTCGCGCGCCTGCATGGGGAAAATCAAGATCAATATCCACCATTTCTACAAAAGTGTATTTTCAGTGATAATAAAGATATCAGAAAAAATAAAAAATGGAAATGTCCATAAAAGATCAGGCTACAATTGGGTGACACAAATCATTTTCAATTGTGAGTGGACAACTTTAAAAGGTGTGTCGAAAAATTCCAAAAATTCCTTACTTCATTTCCGTCCCTGTATATGATAAAGACCAATAAAGTCAGATTTATTTGTGAAGAATCAAGCTACAACCCATAAAAAAATAATCGAAATTGAGGGGTTCTCAGGAGAAGACTTTTAAGGGCGGGTATTATAAAACTGCTTTGTCAGTTAACTTGAAGTTAACTTTTTGAATTACATGTAATTCCAGGAGTTAACTTTAAGTTAACTCTCAAAGTAGTTTTATAATACCCGCCCTAAGTCGAACTTAGTATACATTTTGCCTCATTTCCTAATTTTTTCCGTGTGTGTATATTGGAGTTCTTGTTAACCAGATCCAGTTTAAACCTTATATTAGCGTTCCATGAGAGTACCCTTTGAATTTATTCCATTTGGTCAGTTATTCTTTTTCTTGAAGCATACTATTATTACCTACATATTTGTGATTATAATTTTTTTTTCAGATATTCCTATAGACTCAGGATATTCAGTATCTCCACATCATTCCGGAGTGTATCCAGTTCATGAATTACTCTATATTGCCTGGAAAAAAGTTTGGAATATTAGAGTAACCTCCACTGAGGAATATCCTCATTTAAGACCTGCAAGGTTAGCATTTGCCGTGCGCGCTACACAGCACTTTAGTTAAACATTCTAATTTTTCAAAATTCAAACGAATTTCAGGCTAAGAAGAGGTTTCATACACAGAAACATAATGGTGTTACCTAGACAAACCTGTGGTTTATTTACGCACACTATGTTTATAGATAGGTATCCAGGCGGACGTGAAAAATTAGATGAGTCAATACAAGGAGGCGAACTATTTCAAACGATTGTGTATAATCCAGTAAGTTTTTCATATTAGTAAATAAAAATTAATTTTCTATATTAAGTAAATTTTATGTAGAATTGTAACGGTTAAACTAAGCTTCTGCAGAACTAGGTATAGATTTTTCCTGCTATTCAATTTTCAAAGAAATTACTTAGGTACCTACATGTAATGTTTAATTATTTAGTTAGTGAAGTAGACATAATTTATTTCAGCAAAAGGCAATTTCAACACCAGCTAACAGGAGGTAAGCACAAAGAGAAGTCTTGCTAAACAAAGTATATTGTTAGGGTGGTTCCCGACAGAGACCGAACCCCTGGCCGAATTATTACGATTGCTGTACCACCGTAAATTTCATTCGTCGTTCTTGTGTGTTTATTTATCTAATTTTTTGGATGTTTATTGGAATTCTTAAAAAAAAACTTAGAAAAAAATTTCTTATAAAATAGGAGAACCTGAGGGAAAACCAGGGGATTGTTCATCATTTTACTGGCTTTACTGTAAATACATATTATTCACCACCTTATGTAATGTGGATATAAGTCACTTAATTATGAACTTTATGTCTCTAATAACTAACTGCCTTGCACCTAGGCAGAAAAATCTAGATATTCCACCTTGATTCCAAAAACAGAATGAGATCATGTAGACTTTTTTCTATTAAATAGTTTATCAAAGTTTTGAAGACATTGAATGGAAACTCCCTGTCAAAAGGCTAATGCAAAATGTAGACTCGAATTGCAGGATCTGTTTAATCTGAGAAGCGCAACACGCAGATCATATAAAGTAGTGGCTGTAATGATTGTTCAACTACAGTAGACAGTTTACCTGTAGCTCGCATCTCTTTATAAAATCAGTAGGATTATGAGATAGAAGATGTGGCGCACCTGTCTACCGCAATTGAAAAAATATAGTAGAAACTAGCATGCCCTGTTAGATAAATACAAAGATGATGAAAAAGAGCATATAATAGACAAACATTGTATCTGTTCCACTCAATGCACCACCCTCTAAGCAACTACTTAGATGTTTTGAGATAGGTGTATGAAATCCTCTTAAACTAACTAATATTTACATTAATTTACAAGCAATTCTTTGTTTGTTTCAGATCAACATCTTCATGACACACATGTCAAACTACGGAAACGATAGGCTAGGTCTGTATACTTTCGAATCTGTAACAAAATTTATTCAGTGCTGGACTAATATTAGACTAACGTCTGCACCGCCATTACAATTGGCCGAGAATTACTTCAAACTTTACCCTGGAGAATCGGATCCAGTATGGGGGGTAAGTCAATACTAATGTTTAATTTGTTTTATTAATTTTAACACCTAATTGCTTTTCAGAATCCTTGCGATGATCAGAGACACCAAAAAATCTGGTCTAAAAATAAATCGTGCGATTCCTTGCCAAAGTTTCTTGTAATTGGACCACAAAAGACTGGAACTACTGCACTATATACATTTCTATCGCTTCATCCAGCTATTGCTAGTAATCTCCCAAGTCCAACTACCTTTGAAGAAATTCAGTTCTTTAACGCACACAATTATCTGAGAGGTTTAGATTGGTAAGTAAACTTTGCCTTTTTTTCTAATTTTTCAATGGATTTTTTCATGATGTTTCAGGTACATGAGTTTTTTCCCAACTGATACCAACTCGTCAGCTCGCTATTATTTTGAAAAGAGTGCGACCTACTTTGATGGCGAACTTGTACCAAGAAGAGTGCATGCACTGCTTCCACACGCAAAGTTGATAACGATATTGATATCACCAGCAAAAAGAGCTTATTCTTGGTATCAGCATACCAAGGCACATGGTGATATTGTGACGAACAATTATAGCTTCCACCAAGTTATCACTGCAAGTGATACAGCTCCCAAACCATTGAGAGATCTGAGAAACAGGTAGGTTTACAGTCGTTGAACTTTTATTGAACTTATTGACTACAAAATTCACTAATCACCTACCGCTTTCACATGACTCTCTCATTCAAAATTACTTACATACAGCTACGCGCTTCATAAACCGTAGGTATAAAATTACCTAATCGAGAAATACTGTAATACAAATACTATTTTAGGTGTTTAAATCCTGGCAAATACGCACAACATCTGGAAAGGTGGACGACATATTTTCCGCCGCAGTCGATTCACATTATCGATGGTGAGGAGTTGAAATCAAATCCAGTGGAAGCTATGAACGAGTTGCAAAAGTTCTTAAAAATCACTCCATTCTTCAATTATACAGAACATTTAAGGTATGTGATTAGTTTTCAAATATGAATATGTAGATAAATAATTTTTAAGACCTAATACCATTCCGCACAGTTTACATGCACAATGTACAGGGTGGGCATTTTATTAGGGGCCTATGTCTTTTCTCAGAAACTACAGGGTGTACAAAAAAAATATAAATACAAAAGTTTCTTGGTTTTAAGCAATGTTGTCAATTATTTGCGTTTTATTTATACAGGGTGTCCCAAAAGTGCTGCACCGACTTCAAAACCAGAATTTTAAATGGAACACCCTGTATGTTATTGCATATTTGGATTCTACGTAAAATTCTGAGCAGATTTCCTGTAATATACCCTATACCTAAGTTCAACTGTTTTGGAAATATTGACAGTTGAAAATTGACTTTTTGGAACTTTGACAGGCTGTAAAACCTAAATGGTTAATTTTAGACGAAAACCGATTATACATTCCTATCTTAGATTTTTATAAACTATCATTTGGCAGACACCAACTTTGAATTTAATCCACGATTAAAAATTCCAGTTTAATTTAATTTCCAGTTAAATTCAAAGTTGGTGTCAAATGATAGTTCATAAAAATCTAAGATAGGAATGTAAAATCGGTTTTCATCTAAAATTAACCGTTTAGGTTTTACAGCCAGTCAAAGTTGCAAAAAGTCAATTTTCAACTGTCAATATTTCCAAAACAGTTGAACCTAAGTATAGGGTATATCACATGAAATCTGCTCAGAATTTTACGTAGAATCCAAATATGCAATAACATACAGGGTGTTCCATTTAAAATTCTGGTTTTGAAGTCGGTGCAGCACTTTTGGGACACCCTGTATAAATGAAACGCAAATAATTGACAACATTGCTTAAAACCAAGAAACTTTTGTATTTATATTTTTTTTGTACACCCTGTAGTTTCTGAGAAAAGACATAGGCCCCTAATAAAATGCCCACCCTGTACAGAGTTATCCAACGAAAGTGCTTTCTATAGGTATATAGGTAAATTAATTAAAAGGTGAACCAGGTGAAGCTGGATTAAAGCAAAATTTAGCATATTTGATCTAATATTGGACACATTTTCAATATAATAATTAAAAACAATAGTAATAATCAAGACTAGATGGGAACTTACCAGTCTTACCAGCTTCCAACGATGGAATATTTTTTTTTTGTAATTTATTTTAAAAAATCATTGATTAGCAATATCTCCAAAATTGCTAAATTTAACTATAGGTCATATGTATAACATATATCAGGGATCAAATTTAATGTAGTGTAATGTAGTGTAATTTAATTCAAAAACATATTCAAAAATGGGTTATTCCATTTAAATTGAACAAGAAATGTAACATTTTTTGCTATATGTCCTAAAACCGACTTTCCATTTTTTTTTGATATTTTTTTTTGTATCTTTTCAGTTAACTGGTATTTAAAGTAAAAAGCACTTTCGTTGGATAACCCTGTACATAATAAAAATGTTGTTCCCATTCCCATACTTTTCGTATACAAAAAAGTGACTGATTATTATATTTTTTTATAGGTTTGATAAGAAAAAGGGCTTTTATTGTCAAGTAGTCAATGGCGACAACACGAAATGCTTAGGTAGAAGTAAAGGCCGACAATATCCACCAATGGAAGAGAAATCCCTTAAATATCTCCAAAGATATTATCTTAGTCATAATACTGCATTGGTAAAATTATTTAAGAAAAATGGAATTCGTGTAGTGCCGAATTGGCTTAAAGAAGATTTGTCAGATAAAAACGATTCTGACAGTTGAAGCTGGCTTTTAACTGTCCTTATCTAGAACTTTTTTTTTGCGATATCTGTGCCATTTTAATTGTTAGGTGTTAAAATTGAAAGCTAGCGAACAAAAATAACCCTTGCAGTTTGAAAAAAAGATTTTATATTGGTTAAAAAACAGATCAGGTAGTTAAGTTTAAATTTTAAAAACTATTGCAAATTGGCCCGCATCAGCAAAGTCTTGGAAATTCTGGATATGCAATTTAAAATTTTTCACTAGGTTCTAATTTTTAACTTAGAATTTTAGAGCAGGTAAAGCGCTGTCCTGCGGACATAAGGAGTAGGAACGCGCCATTCTGCTTATGAAACTAAAGTGAAGCCAAGTTTTTGGCAGGTGTTTGGCACCAAAATACAAGTAAAGCATTGAATTGCCATAACCGCCATTTTTTGTGGGCCAAAATACCTGGAAAAAAACGGCTTCATTTTCCAAATCCAGGTTACTACTCCTACTCCTTTACCTTTACCTGCTCTAAGCTTAGAATAGTATAGAGAAAAATAAAAGTCTGCTATTTATTTTATTTCCAATTAATAGAATTTATTTAGATTTTTGCTGATATTTATGAAAAAGTGAGGATAATTTTCTAAATGGATGTCTTTGTTTTTTTTTGAATTATTAAAATACTTTATATGGATTGACAAAATTTAAAAAAAAATACTGAGCACAGAAATAATGCTTTCTACTAACTAAGTTGATCTAATTTTAATATTTGTGAAATTTTTGTATTTTATGAAAAGTACAATTTTTGATATATTTTTTTATGCTAACCCTTTTAAAACTTCTTTTAAGGTAATGTTTTGGAATTAAATTAAATATTTTTCTTTCATATATAGGTAACTAATATAAAAAACTGGAAATAAGTGAGGAAGGAAGATAAACTATAGATAAAATAACTTGATGCAATAGCAAAATGAACAATTGTTCATTCATATCAAAAATCATTATACCTATTACTTGTAGATTTTTTGTAAATGTTGATGTAATTATTTAATATTTTGTACATTTATTTTACCTTGTTTGTACATATTTATATTTTATGTACTATGTAGGTATGCATTTTAAATAAATAAATGCAATTTTATGTGAAATTGCATTTTTCTTCAATACCATAATGAACTAAAGGTGAGTTTACACATGCATGGATTTAGTGGCGCCAATAAAAACTGGCGCGCCAGTAAATTTTATTAGCAAGTGTAAACATGGACTTGCATACATATTTTATATTTGCATGCATAGTCCAAAAAAGTCTGCATCCTTCTGAAATCACTGGCGCCAGTGGTGACAAATTCATACAGAAAATCAAAACTTGCAAGTGTAAACAAGTGCTTGCACGTCAGCGTCTGCTCGCCAGTTTTTCATTTTTTGATTTTCATTTCCGGTGCGGCAAGTTCTCCTAGAAGTTTTGCAGAAGCAGCCAAAATGGGTCGATGATCAATCCATGGTTCAACCCAGAAACGGCCATTTCATTGGTTGCGTTTTTTTTTCTGTATTTCTTTTATCTTTTTTTTACTAAAAGTTTAGCGACTATTTTACAGGCTTCGGAAAGTTCACTCCACATAGTGCACACTGAGAAAAGCACTTTAAAAGTGAAACTGGCGTGCCACTTGTTTCCGTTTTTCACACAAAGTGTAAACCTTTACTGGCGTGCAAATAGAACTGGCGCGACCACTGGCGCCACTAAATCTATGCATGTGTAAACTCACCTTAATTCTCCTTTTTTTTTGTGAAATTTTTAATTTTAATAATTGGACTCATCAGTTATGAGTGAGCCATCGCAAGAACCAGACATAAAGTATTTGGAGAAACCAAACTGCGACCATCGGACTTTGAATTCCTGAAGTATATCTTGGTGAGAGACACAATAGATCTTATTGAAGTTCGCAGTGAAAAGACCGACCTGTATCTGTAACTTGGCTGTAAGTTTGGGAGGGTGGTATGCCACAGCACTTAGGCCCATTGTGTGCCTCCACAAGAGGAGACGTGATCATTAGCTCAGATCTAAAAAAGAAGTCCTTAAATAAAGGTTTTTGGGTGTGGCACCCGATACTTATATCCCTGGGGAAAAAAATTGCATTACCCCCCCCCCCCCCCCCAAGATTCTTCTCTAGAACCGCTGTTGGCTGTAGCCTGGCGGCCCTCCTAGCCAGAGCATCTTCAGTCCGATTGCTTTTGCTATGTGATCATGTTTTTTCATCCAGCTGACAGTACCACCTTGTTTTTTATCGGCGCCTCTATGAAGGTACAGAGGCAATAGGGTTGCCAACCCCCTCCAGGACCTTCAGCCAGGAGGACAGTCCTCCGTTGGATCAAAAGATCATCTGTCCTCCGCAGGTACATCGAAGGAGGAAGGAGGCAGTTCGTCCTCACTCCTCCTTTACATAAAAATGTTCTAAACGTCTAAAAATAGAACGCCAAAAAAAAAATATATGCATAAATTATATTTTTCGTTCAGTAAATCTTGTTTTTGAAAACTATTTATTTTATTAAAAACTAAGAAGTTACAACCAAAAATACTAGATTCTAAATAGCTCCAGCGGAAGCCGAGAACAAAAGAATCTTTATTCTAAATTGCTATAGTCTAAGCTAAAATACAAATGAATGAGCTGGAAGAAAGAAAGAAAGAAAATGTACTTTATTGTCAAGAAATAAATTCCTATAACAAAGCATGCTAAATCTAAGACTTATAAACTAAGAGTAAAATATAGTATTTTAGTTCGACCTCCAGTCCTTCGATATCAATACTATTTTACCACGTAGTAGACATTTGTCGCCTGTATTACCCACTAAGTTTAAAGAAGCCGGTCCTGTCCACTCCTGCTCTTCGCTGCCGTTGGCCATCTCCATCCGCCATCGCGTCATTCGACATTTAGTGCTTGTATCGTGCAGAGCGTTCTGGTTTTTTCAAGCTTTGGCTGTCACACGTAAGTAAATTTGATTGTAATATTTACTTTCCAGCCATGAAAAAACATAAGAAAAGAGACCGGTCATCAAGTAGTGATGACGAGCTATCGAAAAAAGAATTACTAAGAAGAATTCATAAGTTGGAACGATCCCAAGAAAGACGAAGGTCACGTTCCCCTACATACTCTAGTAAGCGCCATCGGCGTTCGGAGTCGAGCGTGCGTTCTCGCTCTCGCCGACTGGAATCAGGTGACCGACGCAGGCTAACTCGCTCTCCCACACAGACGCGAAAGGTCGATTCTTCCCCGTCGCGCCATCGACAGCGCTCATGGGTGGAGCGGGGAGAGCTTTCCAGCTGTTCCTGCGATAGAAGTCGATTCTCTAGTCGATCCGTCGAGACTGTCGAGAGCACAGGGACGCATTCAGCCCGTCGGCGCCGAAGTTTTTCTGCAGAGCGATACTCGTACGTATCGACGAATGCAGACGCAACCAACAATGAGGGATTCAACTTGCATGTTGAAAACCTTGTACGACCAAACAGTCCAGACAATATTACAGCAGAAGGAGGCCATTCTCCGTCACTAATAATAAATAATGACGTTGAGCTAGGCGACGATTTTTTGGCCATTTTAGGAAGCGATCCAAAGGAATGTGGAAAGTCAACTTTCCAACTTCATAAGGCCATATCCTCGCGATGGGATCATATATTGTCTAATGGCTTATCGGACGAGGACAAACGGGTTTTAAATGACCGTCACAAAATACCAGAGAATTTACCCTTGTTAGTGCCACCTGAGGTTAACGCTGAAATATTGGCAATTATGTCAGCGCTTCATAAAAAGAGAGATTCTGGTTACTCGGCAATTCAAAATCAGATTTCTCATGCTCTTTCAGCTCTTGGACAGGGCCTTAAAATAATTCTTGAAGAGGGCAATAATTTTCCCAAGGAATTAAAGGAAAATTTGATGACTCCTCTTTGGGATTCAGGTAAAATTTTAACCAATTTATTTTTTAGCCTATCGCAAACTAGACGTACCTTGATTTCTCAAACTGTAAACAGACAGGTGAAAGATATTATAGAAAAATCTGTTCCTGACACCTCCTTGTTTGGTTTGGATTTCGGGGAAAAAATTAAATCTGCCCGAATGCTGGAAAAGACAAGTAAGGACTTGCTGGCAACACCTGCCTTCACTAGAGTACCGAGTACCTCAACCAGCACTAATAAAAATTATACTAGTGGCGAAAGAAGAGGAGGGAGGAGATCAATTCCGGAAAACCGATATCGCCCAGGTCGTCCAGGGAGGGGGACGAAACCTTACAAGGGCCAACATTCCTCGAGACACGAGAAGTTCTATTCCAGGAAAAACAAGTAATTCCGGTAAGTAAAATACCAGCTGGAAGGTTACAGTACTTTGTTGACAGTTGGAAACAAATTACTTCAAATAATATTATTTTATCATGGGTAAAAGGTTTTGAAATACCCTTTCAATTCATACCTCCAGCTTCAGAAAGTTTTTCCTATGCAAAAATACTGTCTCATAGGGATACTAAGGAAATGTTAGAGTGCATCAAGGATCTTTTAAGTACGGGCGCTGTATCGAGATGTAAGAACGAATCTGTACAATTCGTCTCAAGCATATTTCTTGTAGATAAACCTAACGGTAGTAAAAGATTTATACTTAACCTTAAAAGATTAAACAGATATGTCGAGGTACCTCATTTTAAAATGGAGGACTATCGAACAGTTTCTCGTCTTATTCGTCCTAATGTATATATGTCAACAATTGATCTAAAGGACGCATATTTTATGATTTCAGTAGCAAAATCTCATAGAAAATATTTAAGATTTTATTTCCAGGAAAATCTGTACGAATTTAACGTTTTACCGTTTGGATTGTCATGCGCTCCATATATTTTTACTAAACTCCTTAAACCGGTTATAACCAAGTTAAGGACTGAAGGTATTTGCTGCGTTAGTTACCTGGATGATTTGATAATATTGGCTGATTCTGAACAACAGTGTCTTCTTAATACAGTCACTGTACTAAATTGTTTGCAGAACTTAGGTTTCATTATAAACAGGGAAAAAAGTTCATTAAGTCCTTCTAAACGACAGAAATTTTTAGGTTTTATTTTCAACTCAGAAAATATGACCCTAGGTCTAACGACAGAGAAGCGCGTAAAAATAAAAGAATCAATAGGTCATTTTAAAAGTTCTCATTCATGCAAAATTAGACACTGGGCTCAATTCATAGGTCTGTTGATTTCGGCTTGCCCAGCGGTCAAGTATGGTTGGTTATATACCAAGTCATTTGAAAGAGAGAAAATTAAATACCTTCGTGAAAATAATATGAGTTATGAGGCTATAATGATCCTATCATCTGATATCAAATCTGATTTGTTATGGTGGGACACTCACATTCTCATTTCTTCCAATGACATAAGACAGGACACTTTTAAGATAGAAATATTTACTGATGCTTGCTTAACCGGCTGGGGTGCATGCACAAAGGAACTCTCTACGTATGGTTGGTGGTCTGAAACAGACCAAAACAACCATATTAACTATTTAGAATTGAAAGCTATATTTTTCGGGTTAAGATGTTTTGCAAAGGAGCTTACCAACTGTAATGTATTAATACGCACTGATAATACTACTGCCCTATCATACATAAATAGAATGGGCAGTGTCCAACATAGAAATTTAGACAATTTAGCCCGAGAAATATGGCAGTGGTGCGAGTTAAAAAATACATTTTTATTTGCATCATATATTACCTCTCAAGATAACTGGAAAGCTGACAAAGCATCAAGAATGTTACCAACAGAAACTGAATGGGCTTTGGCTAACTATGCTTTTCAACGCATAGTGAAGGAGTGGGGTACCTTTGAAATAGACCTTTTTGCGTCAAACATTAACGCCAAGTGTGAGAAATATGTATCCTACTTACCAGACCCAAATGCAGTTGCGGTTGATGCTTTTACCATTAATTGGAGTACCTTTTATTTTTATATATTTCCTCCTTTTAGTGTAATTTTGAGAGTTATTCAAAAAATTATCGATGAAAAAGCGCAAGGCATCGTAGTAGTTCCTTGGTGGCCGTCCCAGTCATGGTTTCCTCTTTTCATGAAGATTAAGATAGGCGATTACCTGTTATTTAAGCCTGATCCTAATTTGCTTACTTCACCTTTTAGCTCACAACACAAGATGGCGAAGAACCTTACCCTGGTTGCAGCAAAATTATCTGGAATGCATTACTGCTGAAAAATTACCCAGAAAATACATTACGAACCGTACTTCAATCATTATCAGCTGGAACGCTTAAACAGTACAATTCCACCTATAAACTTTGGTGGGGTTTTTGCCAAAAACATTATCTTTCTGTTTACAAATCCGGGGTAAGTGAAGTTCTACAGTTTCTTCAAAATCTGTTGGACAGCCGGACTATACAATACGGCACCTTTAATGCACACAGATCTGCGCTATCCTTAATTTTGTCAACAGATATAGCTAATGATTTTCGGGTTAAGAGATTCTTGAAGGGGGTAAGTAACATTAGGCCTACTGCTCCCAGATACAATCATATATGGGATACTCGGCCAGTCATAGCCCACCTCAAGAACATGTTTCCAAATAATGGATTAACTTTAAGAGATTTGTCCATCAAGCTTGCTTCGTTTTTAGTCTTAGTTACTGGTCAGCGAGTACAGACCATATCCCTCATAAAAATTGAAAATATACCTAACCAATTCAGTAGGAGGCTATCAAATTTTTATCTCAGATAAAATTAAGACTTCAGGCCCTGGCAAGCTTCAACCTTGTTTACATGTACCTTTTTTTACAGAAGATCCATCTTTATGTGTTGGATCAGTTTTAAAATTTTACCTAGAAGCTACGGCAAAAATAAGGAAACCAGACCAACAAAATTTGTTTCTAGTTACTCGACCACCTTACAAGTGCGCATCGAAACAAACAATTAGCAAATGGGTCAAAGAATTATTGGCGCGTGCCGGCGTTAATACAGAAGAGTTTCGCGCCCATTCTACTAGACATGCGTCTACGTCAGCCGCGAGAAGAAAAGGAATTTCTTTGGATCTCATTCGCCAGACTGCAGGCTGGTCAGAAGATTCCTCTACGTTTGCAAGATTTTATAATCGTCCTGTTATAGATTCATTTGCTTTTGCAAAATCTGTACTTAGCTTGTAGTTTTCATGTTTCATGTGGTATTTGGTTTAGAATATGTTTGAGTTATTTTTGATATATATGTCTTACTTATAATACAATATATTTTCCTTATCTTTGCAACTTGTCTTTGAACATCTACGTGGTAAAATAGTATTGATATCGAAGGACTGGAGGTCGAACTAAAATTATTAGATCAAACGAACTTACCAGTGAAGTTCGATCCTAATTTTAGGAGACCTCCAGTCCGAAGATATCAATTCCCTCCCATCCCAATATTTTTCAGTTTCCCCAGAGGTGTTGCAAAGATTATAATTTAAACAAAATGACGCGATGGCGGATGGAGATGGCCAACGGCAGCGAAGAGCAGGAGTGGACAGGACCGGCTTCTTTAAACTTAGTGGGTAATACAGGCGACAAATGTCTACTACGTGGTAAAATAGTATTGATATCTTCGGACTGGAGGTCTCCTAAAATTAGGATCGAACTTCACTGGTAAGTTCGTTTGATCTAATAATAAATAATACTCCAAATTAAACTCGTCACTACATTATGGTTTAAAATATTGACTGGAGATGAAAAAGCCGGTAAAAAAAAATTAAAATGAACATAAAGTTTTGTAAAGTTATTATTTAATTAATGTGGCACAATCACCAAACACTATCAAAAAACCCCATTATAAAACTCCTCCAAATCGTAATACGGTTTGGTGAGCAAAAACTTCTTTAGTTCCTTCTTAAATTTTGAACAGACTGGATATTCTTAATTGAATCAGGCGAATGGTTGAAGATCTAGCTCTCATAAATAAGGGACCGCTTAGTCAGTGTGCTTGAAGGTATGCGAAGCGGAATATTGTTTAGGCCACGAGTCATATAACTACTCTCAGTAACTGTGAACTCATGACGATATTTGTGAACTAAAACAGAGGTATCCAAGACAAAAAGGGAGGTCAAAGTGAGTATACCCTCAGAAACAAACAATGGTCTACACGAATCTGTAGCACCCGCACCACAAACAATCCTTAGAGCTTTCTTTTCAGTGGCGCCTCGTGACTATTTCAAGTGAGGAGGCTAAAAAATAATGAATCACAAATTACGGTAAGGCAGTGGCGGCTCGTGACAATCCAAACTGGTGAGGCCCATGGCCCATCAAGTTAACCCAAACAAACCCAAACAAAATTTTCAAGTGTTATGCCCAAATTTTGACCCAAAATTTCATTAAAAGAACATCTCGGATATTTTTTTTTGTATATTTCTAATGAAAATTTTCATTTCTTACAGTTGCAAAACAACAGCAGTAGGTACATAATTCTTATTTTAATACAATTGTGCGCCTCAATGCCTATGAAAATTCGCTATCGTCTCACCTGCAGTTGAAAGGTTGTGGTGGGGAGTGCCGTGGCATCGCTTCGGCGTTCCGTGACGCACATGAGGCCAAAATCTTTGGGATTGCTATTTTATTTTAATGCTGTCACAGTACATTTGAGCGCCTATAAGGATAAATAGGTAGAAGCGCGCGCTAAATTCAAGAAATAGTATTATATTTTAATGAAAATTCGATCTTTTGATTCTTTTAATGATTGAAAATAGTTGAAAAACGTTAAATATTTAATGAATATTATTTCAAAATTTTACATCATTATTGTAATTTTTACATGTGAGGCCCGGCCTCAGTTGCTTTATACGACGAGCCGCCACTGCGGTAAGGTAGCCACTGAAAAAGAAAGGTTTAGAAATTAGGTACAACGTGACAACAGTGTACTAATAATATTTCTGTCAAATGTCTGAAATTTAGGTCAAATGTCATTTTTTGTTTATTCCCAGCTCCCAGCTCTTGAATTTGTCAATGAAGGAAATTCAAATGCATGGAAGGGAAAAAATATTAAAGTAGAGTTCTTGTCGCTTCAGACCAGCACCCCTTTTCTTTTCTCTGGCCAATCAGGGAATGATCCCTCCATTAGGCTCCTCCGTAGGCCAATAAGAGCTAGTTATTTCCTACAGCTCGATTAGACTCTTTCTTCGGACCGTTCATTGGTTGTAATGTAATACAAAATGGCCGACAGTCTACAAATGGCTGACAACCAATGAGAGATAGGTACTGAGTGCCGATTCTGGTCCTTTTATCTCTTATTTTTTCTAGTTAATTCTCAGTTTTTCCAACTCAAATTTTGTCTATTCCCCCAATGTTTAACCAAAAAAGGTACGCCTATGGATTGTATGACTCCACCCCATGTTTATTGGCAATTAACCTCGTCCATTTGGGACCCATAAAAGGCGTCTAAATGGGTGGAGCTTTACCATCCATAGACGTACGAGATATTTTTCAAACAAAATCCCCTTGGAAAACACTCGTTTTGAAAAACAACATGGCGGCAAATTTAAACTCAAATCAGTGTTGCCAACCGGTTTGTAAATTGAACTTACACACTGTTGCCGGCTTTTACTCAAAAATCGGCCAAGAGTTACAATAAATCCTATTATATGAAGAAGAGAGAGATAGACCTATAAAACGGCAACAATGTTTTTACGAGTGGCAGTGTGTAATTTTGAACAAACTTCAACCGAATTATTTCCATGATTTCATGAACACAAACGCTTTCGCGAGAAACTTATGACGTCATATTGAACGTTGTTCGACGGAAACATGGACGCAGTTTCTAGCCCAAACTCATGACGTCATAAGACGAACTATTAATGAACTACATTTGTCCAAATAATTCGGTTTTTGTGTACCAATTTTTTCTGGCTCTTGGATTTGTCAAAATGGCATAAATTCAAGAGAAAAAATATGAATCTGCTCTTCCAATATGGCGTCTGTGGGCAAACAATCAACAACAAAACATCTACATGGCATTTTTAATTAAAAAAACGCTTAGATTAATGATATAAAAAACAAATTGGGTTCAGTCACAAAACAACCACACAAAAGTTTTAAAATCTGTATACTCTCATACCGGATAATAAACTTCCGCCCACTGACGCCATATTTGAATAGTTTTGACAGCTCGTTGGGATGCCTAAGCTGCATTCGATTGACCAGATTAGATCAATTTAATTCAATTTAAGTCTATTTCTTTCCAAGTTATTGAATTTCCATATCGTTTCTCTTTCTCATTTATTTCAGGTTCTCATTGTCCAGACACAAAAATTACAAGACCGTTGGAAAAAAAAATATAAAGTGCGTTTTTTTTTTAAAGATAAAAGTCAAATAACTGACATTAGGTTGGCAATACAATGTAAAATTGTCAATGCTTTCAAATTTTTCATGTAGAAAAGGCTTGTGTTGCTAACAAAGTTACTAAATTTTTGACTTGGGGAATTATCTTTAAAAAAAAAACAGATTTTATATATTTCATTCCTAGGTTATCTTCATCTATCTCTTACTGATTGTATATCCTTCGAGTATCTTTCTCTTTTTATTTCAAACACAAAAACTACAACGCCACTGGATCGCCAGAAATAAACAAAATATGTTTATCTCCATCTCTGTCTTACTTATTAAATTTCATATATTGCTGTTTCTTACTCTCAGGCTCTTATATGGTCTATTTTTTTGAAAGCTGGTAGGGTAGATTCGCCTATAGTCGGCCCCCACCCGGTAGTCGGCCGTTGTTGCAATTTTATATAAATATTAGTTGATTCCGTCCATAAAATCAAAAACCTACACATTTAAAAATTTGTTTAATGTGTATTCTACCTAATCCATAGAATTTTATCACAGTCAGGCAACACCGTTTTTTTACAATGACAGGTGAAAATTGTGGTGCACGTCGTGTTCATAGAGGTAAGCAAATTTAAACGATTTTGCTTGTTAGGGAGGTTGTAGAAAATAGCAATTTCCGGCTTATTAAACTTTTTTACATCCAAGTTTGCGATTGCATGGAATTTAAGAATAAATTCACTAACCATTTCAGCCTAAAAACATGAAAAAATAATATGAACATCCTTTATTTTCAAGTGGCCGACCATAGGGTACGCAAAAAGCCGGCCACCTATATAGTCGGCCGCCCGGTCGACTATAGGATTATTTTTGATTTCGCGAAATTAGACCATATTAGCTATTTTATTAAAGACTACTTTTGGTAATTTATTGAAATCTAAATATAAGTATACAATATTTTCACCAAAATCCGATAGTCGGCCGCCTTTAACTAAAACGATTTTATTACAGGCCGACTTTGGGATTACTACAACCAGAGTTCGGCCATATTATTTTCTCATTGATATTGGTACCTTAACAGGAAGTGTTGATCTTTGATCTTTTGTCTAAAATAGAGACGAAGCCAAAGCAATCAAAGACGCAATAGAAGATAATAAAAAACGTGCCCGGAGGAGAGAACGAAACCAAGAAAAATAAAGACGAAGCCAAAGTTTCCTTTGGCTTCGACGCAACGAAAGATAATGGAAACGAAACCGGAAAAAGAGAAACAAAGTAAAAGGAATCGAAGACGCATCAACGAAAGATAATAAAAACGAAATTGGAGAAAAAGACGAAACCAAAGAAAATAGAAACGAAGTCAAAGCAATCAAAGACGCAACAAAAGTTAGTGAAAACAAAACCGGAAAAAAAGACGAAAACAAGGAAAATAGAAAAAAAGCCAAAGGAACCAAAGACGCAACAAAAGCTACAAAAATAGAAAAAAAAAAGACAAACAATTTAGCTGACTTAACATCAGAAAGTCACTTAGTCCTGAGGTGTATAGACTATTTTATGTACTTTAGAGTGATTAAAAGTACCCTTTCATTCCCTATTTCATTCAATCCCCGGGAAATAAAGTGAAAATTTAATCCCTTTGGGAAATAAGGTGAAATTTAATCCCGGGGATTAAGGACCCACTTTACTCCCTTAAAACAAGGATTAGTTTTACATTACTAGGGGGTACTTCTATGGCCGTTTGCACTGACCATTTTAAGGTAGCCTTGGCGATAAGTATTCCTTAATAGTAGATTATACCACGAGTCAATAATGATAGCTATTATTCCCGAG